GACGTCTGCAATTATTAATCAGGCGCAAAGTGTTTGTAAATTAAACACTCAATAATTCAATGGTGAATAGAATGACTAACGTTCAAATATTCGATTATACACTTAACAATGTCCATGTTACTCAAGTGAATCATGAATAAAATTCATTAATTCCCTATTGTTTTCTCAGTATCAATTGTAATCGTTTGATAGTAAGGATAAACTCATTATTATTTAATGGTTTTGATTAAATTTGCGTACGCAACATCTGCACCTACCAATTTAGGTTAATTAAAATAATAACTGGATAATGTGCCGCAGAGAATTAAATTTAACATCTATTTGTTTACAGAACCAATACAATGTCCACCATTCTTCGATCAAATAACTTGCTGGCCCGCAACTTTGGCAAACACTACAGCCAGTCTAAACTGTCCCGACTACGTGATAGGATTCATAAAGGTGAGCGCAAACCTAATTTGCATTGGTTTATGTTAATGTATCTTTTATTTCCTATCGGATATAAACTTTGGAATTGGAAATCAATACATGAACAATTCCTTTTCATGTAAAACGAATTATATTATGCATCATCATTATCATCCATTTGCTCTGCATCATCACCACCATCTGTTTTAGCATTTGTTATACTTTTAAACTGTTTGAACCCTTTACCCTTCTGGTATCCAGCTACCAGTGTCAGTTTGAAGTCAGCTAATTTAATCTCTAAATATTCCACAATTTTAGCTTGTTGTGGTGTTAAAACTTGTCCCTCTTTACACACTGTGAAATCTGAAATAAGAGTAACCACACCTCTTTCTAGTTTAGTTGGCAATCCCAATTGTCTTAAATGTGGTTCCATTGCATGTGAGAACTGAGCAAGTGGACCAGCTTCCAACTCAATTGTTTGTGTTGCTGTATATCCTGCTCTGGCATAGTCCTGATACTCAAAATTGTCAAACCAATCAACTACTTCTTTCTCCTTGGAATCAGTGAATAATAATGCACAGCTTCCTTTTAACACTGCAGATAACTAGAAATTAAATTGATTATTATAATTTATATCATGATCTTATAATATTTTTAGTTACTTTATGAATGTCATCCTGAACTTCTTCTTCTTTATTTCTACCAAGACCCACTGCAATAACTTTATTTTTACCAAAAAAGAATCTGCTTGGCTTCCATTCCTCTCTGATCTC